CAAGATAAAAACTTAGTCAATATATTGCTAGGCAGTTTGATAATATGACTTGTTCTCGACTTTAACATGTTGTCGTGAATGTATATGTCAGTAATTGAGAGACTACTCACTTGAGTCGATCAGTGTGACCTTGCGGGATGACCAAGCTAGGCAAATGAGTACTCACCGAATTGAGTGTAGCTTGGCACCTCGCGATTCGTTGTCTGAAAGATGTTCATGGGTCAATAAAAATTTCGCTCAATTGGTGTGTAAAAACGGTTGAGAAGAACTTTTTGTTCACTCACTGCTGGATTGATGACAGAGGGTGGGGCAGAGGCGCGGCGATCGGAGACTGAAGCGCTTGAGAATTCAATTGCGGGTGGAGTAGGTGGCCCAGCAGAGTGAGCTTCGGTGACCAAGTTAAAGTGGGGGATGGATTGAGGAAGGTCTTCGGTTGTTGTGAGACTGCTTCTTGATTTTGATGGATCTTTGAGATCAGGAAGGTGAGCCTGGAGTGTCAGGCCCGAATGAGTACTCACCGAATTGAGTGTAGCTCGGCACCTCGCGATTCGTTGTCTGAAAGATGTTCATGGGTCAATAAAAATTTCGCTCAATTGGTGTGTAAAAAGGGTTGAGAAGAACTTTTTGTTGACTCACTGCTGGATTGATGAACAGAGTCCTTGTCGAGATAGTTTGATGGAGTTGACTTTGGGCGGAGGTATGAGTTTTGAGTTAGTGAGCCGAGCGTAGTCGTATGATTTGGGGGGTTGAAAAATCTGAGGTTGACAGATTTTCAACTTTGACTATGCATGTACAGGCCTTTGCGAGGTGCGGCCTTTTTTGGGAAGTAAACTTCGCCTTCAACCAATCAGACCGAGCCAAACCTCACAACAACATCAACCACTCGAAAACCGACACTCACTCTACTTCGCCTTTGGCCGATCCAGAACGGGTAAGTACGCGAATGGCTGGGCCAATATCAATGTACAAGATTCTAGTTGAAAATTAGACAAAGACTCCCTTGTTTCTCCATGGACGTTCGAAGTCGATCGACCACATCATGAGGTTAGACTGGACCTCAAACGATGATTCCCCCCGTCATGTGATTATGCTGAAATATCAAGATTATCAAGACTGGTACTGTTCTAATCTACCCCAAATCTCCGTTTGATCAGGACGAAGCCCTCATGCTTGATGAACTAACTATGATACAAAACCGGCCCTCCGCTCTGCAGGAATTTTGAAACCATCGCTCTCTTCCCCTTATTGTCTTGGTTCGGGGATTCGTAGATTAAACGTTGAAAGCCGACAAGGCTCCATTCTGGATAGCCTACGTTGTTGAGTTCAACGATATTCTGATCGACCAGTACGGTGAACCTGGATAAGTTGGTTGATTACACAAAAGGTGACAAAGCTTCTTGGATCACGTGATAGGTTAGATTATCCTGACATAATATAAGTAGATAGATTAAGTAATAGATAAAAAAAAGTAAGAAGTGCAGAAAGCACATTGATATGGTTTACACACGAGTCAAGTCTCAAGACGCCTGAAGAAAAGACTTCTCAGTTAGGGAATGGATGTTTATCACGCGGCAATGCAGTGGTGTTACTCGAAAGATATCGTAAAGCTTTCGGTCCTATGTTTACAACCCAATCTTGATATCATCTAGCTGCGCTCCTGTGATGTTTTACTTGACCTTGAACAAAGGTGTCTGGTCTTTTTTGACCTTGAACAAAGGTGTCTGGTCTTTTGAAACACCGAGCACCTAATGATTTTCCATTTAAATTGAGATTTGATTGAAAAAGGGCTGAGGAGAATCATATTGGAAAGGCATCAATCAGCTGGGTCGACGGAGGGTGTTGGCATTGAATAGATGGCGTTCAGTAACGACGTTCTCCAGCAAGACAGCAGACCAATACTGCCGCAAAGCATTGGCGATTGAGTCTTTGAAGCATCGTTGCTTCAGATGGCTATCCCACCCCAGAGTTCATCAGAGTTCAGGAACAACGACGGCTTAACCCTATTTTCTCCCATCCAACCTTGACGAGACAATAACGCAAGACACCTTGCTCAATCCTAGAGAGTCCATACCGTCGAGGTTGAAAAGACTTCCCAGGTCAGCTTGATGGGATGTTTCCTGATAAAAAGGAGATACATTCTCCCTTGATCCGACAACTCGAGATTCTCGATTAGGGGCTTTGTGACAAAAACACAACCTCCCAGTAATAGCCCCTGCTAGATTTACGCTGTGTTTTGGTCAAATAAACAATTGCGCTCCCCACCTTCTCTCCCTGTTACTACTGGTCTGTGTTATCATAGCCTTTTCATTGAATGATCTTTCATCTGGTCAATGAAGGCACCAGGCATTGGTTATGTAGTCAAGTTAAGTTTACAAAACGCTTGCACAAATAGTTGCAGTGATGGGGAAAAGCGTAGGAGAAGTGAGAAAAACCTTTCGACCTGAAAG